ACATAATGGCTTTTCTAAATAATTGAAATTTGCTTGATTGAGGATTATTTTCTCCTATATTTTATATGCATCCTCAAACTCGCTAACTGGTTGCCCCTGCAGCACTCTGTACATATTTCCAGTATAGCATATTTTGTTCTCCGCATGTTTTACAAACATATTTTCCCCTATACTTGTTTCCACCTACCGACGGGGAGCTTTTCAAAGTCCACCGCCATGTCTTTCTTTTATCTTTATATCCTTATTGCCTTGTACATGGCCAACTAAATAAATCAGTGCCAACAAATGTCATCTGAATGATGAAGCAAATGAAAGTAACAATATTTTTTAGTATAATATGACTTGTGAATAATGACTCAGTAATGACTCATTATAATAAACATAAGCTACTTCATTTTTACCTGCAACACAGAGGGCCTGTCAGGATACAATAAGAACAGTGTCTTCTGCATTAAATAACCCCACACTAAGCTTATTTAAGTCTTTCTGCTTATTTTCCCTTCTTCTCCGTCAGTGAGCCTTCACTTCTCATTTTTGCCTCGGCCACTGTGCCTTGAATCTATCAGGCTGTCACCATGCTCTGTCTAATTTGTTGATTCTAATATGCACATGGCTGAGAAATTATGTAACCAAGAGTGTTTAAAAATATATGCAAAGTTAAAGCACATATGATCTAAAGGACTTAAAGTGGATGTAAATTTTTGAAATACTATGTGCATATGCTAAATTTGGAGTTACCTTGTTTTGGTCAGTTTCCTTTGTGGATAAAAAAGCTTCAAGATATGGATTTATGACATCTATTTTAGCTTCTCAGAGCACTTAAATGCTTCAGTTCTTGTATTGGCTGTGTTATGAATAGTTGAGAAAGAGCTCTGGGTAAGAAAGCTACCTGTGTGTTTGCAAATATGCATGTTTGTATGTTTCTGTTCAACAAGATCATATGCGTAGTTATTGAGAAATCATTTGAAGGCTTATTGTGTCCCTTAATATGATCTTTATTTTCCATCAAATATGTTAAAGGCAACAGCAGTAAGGGGGACTGGTTTTTAAGGGGGCTCACACTTCCCAGAGCAGCTGCCTTATTATTTAGTAAATTACTCTGGAAGCCTTCAGTTATCTCGTGTGGCTGAGACAATTACACTCTGAAAATACCACATTCATCTTAGGGCCAGACCCCACCGTCCTGTGGTTCTTAACACAGTGATTGTGATGATCATTTCCTTTGTGTTATCTGTGGCACGTTAGCGCTTCTCAAGGTAATAAACATACAGCTTCAGTTCATTCTTCCTTAGCACGGACGGCGTTCCTTGGGCAGGGGAGAACAGATTGCCCCGCGGTAAGAGGCTTGCAAGTTGGCTCTCTCCTGAACTAACAACAGCAACAGCAAAACCAGCAGCTTCAGACAATCGATGGGAGTCACTGTTGTAGACGTTTAAGGAACGTGCCCCCAGCTACAAAGAAAATGCAAAACCTATTTTGAGTAATGTCAACAATGCTGTAAATGATACTTTTGAAACAAAGGCACACACAACCTGACCGTCTAGGTTTGGGAATATGGGCTTTCACAGTTTATGTGTGTGGTTTTTAAAGTGTATGAGTGTTTTTAGGCCTTTTTAAAAAAATCATTAAAGCAATAAATGCCCATTGTGAGAAACGTGCAAGATAAATAAAATACAGGAGAATGTAGGAACATGTAGAAAATAAAATCCATATTCCCACCATTATAAATACTTTGGTCTATCTCTTCCCCTTTTTTCTATATTTTTGTTTCTATTTTTATAGCTTTATATACTTTTATAATTTTAAATCAATTGTGTCATGCTTTTTGAAAAACGAGTATCGTACCTTTTATATTTAAGCATTTTCATGCAATTAAAATCATCTGAAAGCAGATATTTTGATGTTTGCATATATTTTATTTCCATCACATGCATGAACTTTAATTAGCATCCCTGGTCTTACACGTTTATATTCATTTCGGTTTGAGC